ATATATGATATACAGATAAATACTCACAATTTTTATAGGATTTGAATTCAATATCTGAGATTATTGTGACTCCTTGAATATGAAGGTCACCATTATAGTGGTTGTAGTATATGAAGGACTTCCTTTAGTAGTTACCTTAACGTAAATTTTACGAATTAAAATTTTTTTTGTTGGTGTAAAGTGATGAAATTAAGAGAGAAAAGAGAAAATGATGAATGATAAAAAGCTGCTACAAATGATTGAAAAGGGATTGAATTAATTAATGAAACCTAGTACACCTGTTTATACACAAAAATAGTAAAGATAAGAATGTCACATAGGTCCTAAGAGAGAATATTCCAAATATAGCAAATACTAAATTACCCCTTTAATATCATCCCTTAATTTAGTATCTATCAGAAACTAACAACACCAATTTCATTTCTCAAATGAAGAAATTGGTCTGTTTTGATTGCCTTCGTCAGAACATCTGTCAGTTGTTTCTAGGTACTACAGTGCAGAACTTCTAACACTCCTTTTTGCACTTGACTTCTCAGAAAATGATACTTCGTCTCAATATGCTTGCTTCTTCCATGCAGCACTGGATTCTTGGCAGGATTGATTGCAGACTTGTTATCAATCAACAGTTTCAGAGGTTTCTCTATCTCAATCTTCAAATCCTCCAAAAGATTCAGAAGCCAAACAGCTTGACATGCAGCTATAGCATCTGCAATGTACTCAGCTTCACACGTTGACAGAGCCACAACAGGCTATTTCTTGGAACTCCAAGAAATAGGACCTCCCAAAAACTTGAACAAGTAACCAGAAGTACTTCTTCTGTCAACTTTATCTCCACATCAGTCAGAATCAGAATAACTCACTAATAATGTTTGTCTTTCTTCCAGAAGGAAATAGCACTCCATATTTCAGAGTTCCTTTGATATACCTCAGAATCCTGACAGCAGCTTGGTAATGAGACCACTTTGGTTTACTCATAAATCTGCTAACCATTCCAACTGCATAGCAAATGTCAGGTCTGGTATTGCACAAGTACCCGAGAGAACCAACCAAATGTTTGAAGGTCGTAGCATCCACAAAATCATAATCTAATTTATGATTGGTTTCTGATGGTGTCACAACAACTTTACAAATTTGTAACTTAAATCTCTTCAGAAGTTCAAGTTCATACTTCAGCTGATGTAGAATGATACCCTTCTTTGAGTACAGAATCTCCATTCCTAGAAAATATACCATATTTCCCAGATCTGTCATCTCAAATTTATTCATCAGAACTTCTTTGAACTTGATTATATCTTCTGGACAACTTCCTGTTAGCAATATGTCATCAACATATCGACACACCAGAATCATATTGCCACCAGAATGCTGCACATACACGCCATATTTCATCTCACATTTCTGAAACTTCTGCCTCTTGAAAAACGAATCAATTTTCAGATTTCAAGCTTTGGGCGCTTATTTCAGTCCATAGAAGGCTTTATGTAACTTGTATACCATACCATTCCTTCCTGATTCTTTTTCACAAATCTAGGAGGTTGTGACACATATACCTCTTCTTGTAACGGACCATTCAGAAATGCAGACTTCACATTCAAATGTATCAAAGGCCAATTTTTGTTTGCAGATAAAGCAATCACCAGTATGATTGTTTCATGTCTAGATACAGGCGCAAACACCTCAAATTAATCTAGCCCAGGTTTATGAAGAAAACCTCTAGCCACTAGCCTCGCTTTGTGTTTGCCAATTGATCCATTTGGCTTAAGCTTCACCTTGAAAACCCATCTGACGCTGATGACTTTCTTCTTTTCTGGAAGCTTTGTCAACTTCCAAGTTTTGTTTCTTTCAATAGCCTCGAGTTCTTCCTTCATGGCATTCAACCATACTTTCTTCTTGAGAGATTCTTCAATACCAACTGGTTCAGAATCTACTAACATGGCACACTCAACGACTTCTCTTTCAGAATCTACTTCAGTATCATGCAACATGCTAAAATCTACAAACCTACTTGGTATTTGTCTGATTCTCTGTAGCCTCTGAACTTGTTCTGAAGCTTCTCCAGAACTTCGAACAGTGCTAGCTTCTGGACCTTGTCCAGAACTACTTCCTTCAGAATTACCACCTTCAGAGTTACTTCTGGAAGCTTGTCCTCCAGACCCTATGTCTTCAGAGTTTTTCCTTCCAAAAATATAATCCCCACCAGATTTTGGATCATCATCAGAATCTGGATCAGAATCAGATCCACTATCAAAATCTCCCTGAGATTCTGACTCATCTTCAGAGTCTTCAGAATCAGATTCATCTTCTGACTCTGACTCGTCTTCAGAACTTTCTGAAAAATCTTCAGAAACTAACTCTGGTGTTGGCGCTACACCAGAATCTGATTGAGGCTTGTTCCAATCCCATGTTTCCGACTCTTTCGCAATAACGTCTCTATTGATTTCAACTTTGTTGGTTTTTTGGACAATAAAGCTTATAGACACATGTACTGTGGTACCCCACCAGTAACAGTACTTTGCTTCTATCATCGAGTTTCCGTCTTCTAACTTCTGGAACGTGTTTGTAGCATACAGAACCAAACACCCTCAGATGTTTAACACTTTTCTTATCTCCAGTCCACTTTTCTAAATGAACAATTTCCTTCAGCTTCTTCGTTGGACACCTATTCAGAACATATGCTGATGTGGCAACAACTTCTCCCCATAACATGTGAGGTAGCTTCTTCTCTTTCAGCATACTTCTGGTCATATCAAGCAAAGTTTTGTTTCTTCTTTCAGTAAGACCATTGTGTTGAGGAGTATATGGAGCAGTAACCTCATGTTCTATTCCATTCTCCTCACAGAACTTCTGGAACTCTGTAGAGTTATACTCACCTCCACCATCCGTTCTCAGAATCTTCAACTTCTGATCACTCTGCTTCTCAGCCTTCACCTTGAACTTCTGAAACTCAGTAAACACTTCATGCTTGAACTTGATGAGTGTTACCCATGTCATTCTTGTGAACTCGTCCACAAAAGACACAAAATATTTATTTCCTCCAAGTGAAGATACCGGAAATGGTCCACACATATCAAAATGTACTACTTCCAAGGCATGCTTCGCTCTGGGGGCTACTTCTGATGCAAATGGCAATCTGGGTTGCTTGCCTTTCATGCATATCACACATGACTTCTGAGGCTTCGCAATCTTCGAAATGCCATGTACAAGCTTCTTAGAACTTAGATGCCCTAAGCTTCTATAGTTCAAGTGCCCCAATCTCTTGTGCCACAGCTTACTGTCACCTTCAGCGCCTTCTGCACTAAGACACTCTGCTTCAGCTGTTTCTACATTCACCTTGAATGTTCTGTTGCTTCCCTGCTCAGACTTCATAATCAACTTCTGATTGGAATCATATAACGTCAAGGGGTTGTCCTTCATAACAACTGATAACCCTTTCTCAATGAGCTGACTCACACTCATCAGATTGCTTTTAATTCCAGGAACATACCAAACATTTTTTATCAGAATTTTTTTTCATTCTTCACTCTGACTCTGACATTTCCCATACCTTCTGCATTAAGATACTTATCACCAGCACATCTGATATTTGTTCTCCTTCTGGAGTCAAAGTCTATCAGCCATTATTTGTTCCCAGTGTCCATATACCACCAATCTTCTGAACACTTTCCATCAGAATCAGAAGCCATCAATAGCACAGGTTCATCATCAGAATCTCCTCTGACTATATTTGCTTCTTTTGATTTCCTTCCTCTGTTTCTACAATCTCTGGAAAAATGGTCAAACTGTTCACAACAGTAACATTGAACATTCTTCTTGTCATACTTTTCCTTTCCCTTCTGATATTTCTTTTCATCAGAAGTTGAGGTTTCTGACTTCTGGAATTTATCACCACATCTATTCTGCTTCTGGTCTTTCTTGACAAAAGAAGCCTTCAAAGCTTGATCAACTTCCCTCTCAGAAGTTCTTTCAGTCAGACGCAACTCCTGCGCTTCTAGACTGCTTTGCAACTCTTCTACTCTCATGGTTTCCAGATTTTTAGAATGTTCAATAGAAACGACAATGTAATCAAACTGAGGAGTAAGTGACCTCAGAATCTTCTCTATGATTACCTGTTCAGAAAGTGTTTCTCCACAAGCTTTCATCTCATTAGTGATCAGAATCATTCTGGAGATGTACTCAGAAACTTTCTCACTGTTCTTCATGTTGAGATTCTCATATTGCTTTCGCAGGGACTGAAGCTTCACCTTCTTCACTGACGCGTCACCCCTGTAACATCTGACCAGTATATCCGCCTCTTTCGATGTCGTCGAATCAATAATCTTCTAAAACGCACTTTCATCCACACACTGATGGATATAGAACAGAGCTTTCTGATCCCTCTTCCTCGTAACTCTTTCTGCAGATCTTTGTTCTTCAGTAGCATCTACTGTAACTGGAACATAACCATTGGTAACAAGATCCAGAACATCCTGAGCACCAAACAACACACACATCTATATCATCCATCTGTTCCAGCTTTTGCCATCAAAAACTGGAAGTTTAGTGTTCAAACTACTGCCTCCATTCATCTTAAACCTTGCACAAATCTCAGATCTCACTCAGTGTTTCCCAAACCCACATAATCAGTGTGATTCTATTCAGATTTTTGTTGAAGATTCAACAGAAATCAAACACACAACTCACTTTTTACTCGTGTTTCCCCGAATTTCAGAAGAATCAAGTGCTCTAGATACCAATTTTGTTGGTGCAAGGTGATGAAATTGAGAGAGAAAAGAGAAAATGATGAATGATAAAAAGCTGCTACAAATAATTGAAAAGGGATTGAATTAATTAATGAAACCTAGTACACTTATTTATACACAAAAACAGTAAAGATAAGAATGCCACGTAGGCCCTAAAAAAGAATATTCCAAATATAGCAAATACTAAATTACCCCTTTAATATTCTTGATAACACTTTTTTCTATCAATCATTTTATATACTGGCTTACTCGATGAAAAAAATGATGGCAGATAAAGCTTTGGTATGTCGATTTTTGTTTGCACTTTCATTGAATTTTGATTGTGAAGCTCAGTTTAATACAGCACATTGAATGCAGGTGAGGAGGCTTTCTGCCTGCGAGACAGTGGGATCAGCCACAACTATTTGCAGTGATAAGACTGGAACATTGACAATGAATCAGGTTTGTTTAAATTCCGCTACGCAACAATACTAAAGCCGATTTTTGACAATATTTTGTATTACGTATCCCAGAACAATAATGATTCGTTCAAATTCTACTTGGTATAGCGTTATTGTAACACCGCTATTTAACAACACTTATTTTCTTGAGACAGATGAGTGTTGTTGGAATGTGTTGGTGGGAAGAAGATTATACCACCTAAAACGATAAGTCGCAGCTATCTCCTATCCTCTATTCTTTGCTGGTTGAAGGTGTTGCACAGAACATTAATGGAAGTGTTTTTGTACCTGAGGTGTGTGCTAGAACTTTTTTTCTTCATTCTGTGCCCCTCGAATAAATTTTCATGTATGTATAATCATGTTCTTTGCACTTTACAGAATGGCAATGGTGTTGAGGTTTCTGGATCACCAACAGAAAAGGCAATTTTACATTGGGGATTTCAGGTCTGGTTTTAAGCTTCAATTTTTCCTTCGTTTCGTGGAGCTTTCTGCCGCCACAAATAATCATGACTATTATATTGAATCTCAGCTTGGGATGGATTTTGAGGCTGTTAGATCAAAATCATCAATCATACATGTCTTTCCGTTCAACTCAGACAAAAAGAGAGGCGGAGTAGCATTACAAACGTTAACACCTTCTCTGCAGCCCGACGCTGAAATCCATATACATTGGAAAGGTGCTGCTGAGATAATCCTTGCCTGTTGTACTCGGTATTTTGACACAAATGATCAGTTGGTGGATATGGATGAAGAAAAGGTTTGCAAAAGAATTCTTTTAAGTGAAAACTTATTGACTTGCAGATGACAGTTTTGAGAAATGTCATAGAAGATATGGTTGTTGATAGTCTACGTTGTGTTGCCGTTGCATATAGACTATTAGATGAAACAGATAACATTATAACCGGCAAAGAAGAACTCGCTCGGTGGTCATTACCAGAGAACGGTCTTGTTTTACTAGCTATCGTTGGTTTGAAGGTATGTATTTCCTCCAGAATAAATACTGTAATGTCATCTTTGTCATTTTTAGAATCCATAATCATTCCTGAAGAGTTCATTCCTTGTGAATCATGTATCGAAATGTAGGATCCTTGTCGACCTGGCGTCAAAGATGCAGTGCATCTTTGCCAAAAAGCTGGAGTTAAGGTATTTAATACTCCCTCCATTTTCAAAATGAGTGTCGTTTTAGAGAAAAAAATTATTTTAAAATGAATGTCATTCTCACTTTTCAATATAGTAATGATAACTATTTTTTCAATTGTGTTATATAATTATTACTCTGCACACTACTTCTAATAAATTAATAAGGTTAATTTAGTAAAAATGCAATGTCTCATGATAATATGATTGCATTTCTTAATTTGTGTGCAAAAACCTTAAACGACACTCATTTTGAAATGGAAGGATAATATGCTTTTGATGGTGAAAGTAATTGTGTTAAATTTGGTTTCCTTGAGATACAAGTAATTGAGAAAATTTAGATGTTTGTCCTGAAATTAATCCATGCATAGTTCAATCAATGGCAGTAACTATGCATCTCTAACTCTAGGTAAAAAAGGTCACTGGTGACAATGTTAAAACTGCAAAAGCAATTGCTGTGGAATGTGGAATACTTGATTCATTGGCTGATGCTACAGAGCCAAGCATCATAGAAGGAAAAACGGAAAAACATTTCGAGCCTTGTCAGACAAAGAGAGACAAGAAATTGTTGAAGAGATATCGGTATAGTCGAACTACTATAACAGCTTTAGTGATATATCATTGGCAAATGAGACGAGTTTTGAATACTATGTAATAGGTTATGGGATGGTCGTCTCCTAATGACAAGTTTTTGCTTGCGCAAGCATTGAGGCGGTAATCGGGGATGGAACAAATGATGCGCCAGCACTACATGAGGTTTGGACAGAATTTTCTTGTTTTTATGTTTATAATTGAATTTTAAGAACATGTCCATATTACGACAATAGTTGTCATGGTGCACCAAACGAGTCATGATTGTAACCGATGCCATAGCTGTTATTGATATGTCAATCTAATATTCAAAGATTGAACCTGTTGGTCCAATGCATATTTTCTAATTGTATACTTTTGTAGTTTAGGCTGATATAGGTCTTGCAATGGGCATTCAAGGAACATAAGTTGCTAAAGAGAGCTCTGATATCATTATTTTGGATGACAATTTTGCTTCTGTTGTGAAGGTTAGTACTCCGTTCTTATTTTGGGGGGTTTTGAACTGTTACATAAAGTTGATGTTTGAAGCATAATTGGTGTACCTTTCAATTTTCTCGACCGGTACAGGTTGTTAAATGGGAGCGATCTGTGTATGCAAATATTCAGAAATTTATCCAGTTTCAGCTTACAATCAATATAGCAGCTCTTGTTATAAATGTCATTGCTTCATTTTCCACTGGCGATGTCCCACTAAATACAGTACAGGTTTGCTCTCTGCCTGTCTCACTGGTTTGTGCTCGCAGTCGCAAAAGGCCAACCTTATGACTCTATTTCTTTATTGTTCTGTCAACAGCTTCTTTGGGTAAATCTAATCATGGATACTCCTGGAGCACTAGCCTTGGCAACTGAATCACCAACAGATCACCTTATGGATCAGCTTTGGTAGAAGGTCGGTTAATTTTCTTCTGTTTTTTGGTTCGGAACTTGGTTTTTCGGATCACGAGTTTTTTAGTGGATTGTTCATGTTTGCATAGGTTCATTTAACGCATTCATGAAAAAGAGACCTACGGAGTTTTTGTGTTGTGAAATTGACTGTATCTTGTTTGTTTTTCAGAGATCCTCTTGTAACAAATATTATGTGGAGGAATCTGCTTATTCAGGTGAGTTTTTTTGTTTCTAATTTATCTTCCCCTGTTGTCACTATTGTAGTGTTGTTGGCAGGCTTTTCATTTTTTAATCTTTCAGGCAATGTACCAGGTTTCTGTCTTGCTTATACTCAATTTCGAAGGCAGGAACATACTGAGTCTGAGGCACGAGATCAGCGCATATGCAGTCAAAGTGAAGAACACTATAATATTCAATGCATTCGTTCGATGTCTAGTAAGTCCTCCTCTTCACCATTTAATTCGAAAAGTACGAATCTCTAACCTAAACTGGCAGGAAACTACATTTCATATTTGGTTTCTTTGTTTTGATTGATGACAGAAAATATTCTACCAAACTGCAGGTATTTAATGAATTTAACGCAGGAAAGCCAGATGAATAACATTTTCAAGGGGGTTACGAAAAACTACCTATTTATGGGGATAGTGGGATTAACTATAGTAATCCAGGTGAGTCTTGTTACAAGTCCTCTGGTTGTTTGAGTTTATTTATGAAATAGTAGAGACTACGATAAACTTTTTCACTGTTTTTTTCAGATTGTCATCATTGAATTTCTTGGAAATTTCACAAAAACAGTAAAGCTTAACTGGAAGCAGTGGCTCACATGTGTTGTTATAGGATTTATCAGGTCAGAATCATATGCACTTGATTGCATACTGTATCTTGCCCTTGCCTTATGTACATATGCTAATTATATTTTTTTCCCCTCTCTCATTCTGTTTTCCAATGCTCGCAGCTGGCCTCTTGCCTAGGTTGGAAAACTGATACCAGTACCAGCAACTCCCATGAATATCTCTTTTAGAAGATTTCGACGTGGAAGAACTTAAAGAAAGATGGAGTCTTAAGCTTATTAATAGTCATGTATAGAAATCTTGCTGGTTCACTCTCTCCACACCATCTTTTTTTATCGGAGATGATCTGCATTTGGCTGATACAAGAAAATTGGTTGTAGATAAATAAAGGTTTCTTTTTGAACAGACAATGAATGATTAGTTTTATGCTTAGGATACGAACTTCAGCCAGTCTCTTTTTTACAGTGTATTTTATCATTTTGGTAAGTGCTTATTTATAATGTCATTTGTTTGAAAAGCTGCTAGAAATGGATGATAATTCCAATTAATTTTTTCAATTAAGCTTCTTTCTTTTTGCATGTAATTTGAATTTGAATTGGGTACAGTTCTCGTCACAAAGCTACTATACTACTATTGCAAGTTAAACAGGCCTACATTACTGGATATATACATCAACTTCGAGAGGCTACGTTTGATTAAAATAAAATCCTCTTTGGTAGAGTAATTGCATACCATGCATTGGTTTCAAATTCAGATAGCCACCTATTGGTTGCAGCGGTAATTTATTATCCATCACGAGCAATGTGATTTATGTTGTCAGGTTTTCATGCAGCAAACAATGAAAATGGTGCATGGCCTGCTCAACTTTAGGAGCATATCTTCCGACAGAACACGCTGGGGATTGGAGGCCCTTTTGAACACCTTCACACAACACAATATCTTCTACCTGCTCATGAATAATCAAATGCAATTAAATAGGTATTTTGCAACTTGAGGAAAATTTATAATCAAGTTTGCTAAACCAATGTTCGTACCTGCACTTTCTCACTGTCTTGTAAACTTTTCTCTATGAAATCTTTGTCGCCCTGCTCAGTCAAAGAGAAGCCAGCAGGCACTAAGGTTTATGAATGGACTTAATTATCATAATAAGTATTAAACTATTTGTTTTCTAAAGTCGTAACTCTTGAAGTTGACTCATAAAAAATAAAATAAAAATGAGACACTTAACACACCCCTGATGCCTAGGACTAGACATCTGAAGCGTGATCCGAGTGGTTTAAAAGCTAGCGGCTCAACGAATTTTAGATAGGCTCTGATACCATATGAGAATTTGAGTTTGGTCTAACCTACAAAACCGGTTTTTAAGGTGAGGAGGAGTGTCCCTCTAAAAATTCTTTTCAATGCGAGACTTAATTTTTTCCCAATATAATTTTTTCATGGAGTCATTCAAAATATGAAAGCAAGCCACTGAACTTCACATTAATTAATATTGCATACCCTAGCGATAAGCCGATAGCTACACATTACCTGTAATGAGGGTTCAAGGTAATAGTCAAAAACCACTTGACATTTGTTGGCTCCTAGTGGAAGTACAAGATTGGTGTCCATCCAAGGTCCATACCTATGAAGCATGTAAGCACCCCAAGTTATAAAACCATGCTAATTAGCAAGAGCATGAACGATAAAAAAAGGTTCAACAAATAACAAAGCAAGAACCTATTAATCATGAAGTTTGGGTAAATGAAAGCATATATAGCTTTTCTTCCAAGTCGATCATTGTTCTCTTCGCTTTTCCCTGACATGCCTTCACAACTTTGAGTGCTAACCCTTTCAAACAACTATCTCATAACACGATTCAATTTGTCATGATATACAGTATCCAGTGCTTTAGAAGGTAAACTGAGGAGATTTTATAAAAGAGAAGTAGTAAAAATCATACTGTGGTAGAATAAGAATCGAGATTCAGACCAGATGCCAGGTCTTTATGTGCATATGGCACATGATAGCCACCGTCTAAGTAGTTATCACAGAATACCTACAAAAAGAAGACCCAAAACCACCAAATTCTAAGCACATCCATGAATCATATAAAGAAAAATGACAATATAGGGTAAGCCAAGAGGTCATACCTTCCAATTGCATTCAATGGTGTATTCACGTCTACATATATAACTTAACGGAGAATCAACTCCATTGGTACTCAGTATTTCTGAAGAGCTACCAAGCCATTCTTTTGCTACATCATGACTATCAACTTCCTCTTGAGTAAGATTCCCCTTTTCCAAATTGATAAGGACAAAAGGCCCCCAGGTAGCTACTTTGATCGGTATAAGACCAAAATCCTATCCTTCACGGTAAGAGAAATCAGCCAACCCTTTTCCTTATGTACATATATTGAATAATTAACTTACTATAGAATAGAACTCCATACATTTACATTGAAATCTCGCATTCCTGATATCCTATTTGCCTTAAGAAGCGTTCCGTTTAATCCATATGTCCAGCCCTGCAAAAATAATTGTCTTCTCGCATCGAAGTTTCCAAAACAAGAAGGTAGTGTAAATAGAAACCTAAAACGATAGGATCAGATCATGGTAACAGTAACATCCATTATCCATGAAGGAAAGTTTGACAATTGTGTCTTCGACCTCACCAGGACAACAACATGAAAAAGAAGGGGATTCCCAGAGAAAGAGAATCAAAATAATGCTTGTGTGCATACTTATGCAGTAACTAAACTCACGTGGTAAGGGCAGACAAAGCAGGACTTTTGTCCACTTCCAGAAGCAAGGATAGAGGCATGATGACGACAAACATTATAGAAGGCCTGGATGTTTCCACTGTCATCACGACATACAACAAATTCCACATCTCCTAGTCTGCAACATTTAATCCTCCATATGTGGTTCAGAAATTTGAAAGAAGAGAAAATAAACAAGAGTACACAAACTAATGTCACATATAAATATCATTTTTCCCTTTCAAGAACCAAATGGAGCTGCAATTAGACAGCATTGTTAACAACATACACCCTCCTCCGGTCACTATTATAAACGACAAAAAACTTTTTAGATTCATTGCATAAATAATGTAGTCATTATTATATATCAGATACATCAATTGTTCAATTGTTCAGTGAACCAAATTTTTTGTTGCTGCTTATAATAGTGACCAGAGGGTGCATGTAAATACACAAAACTTGGAATCAAACCAATGTACTTCTATTGAAGAGAAATATGTGAATCATGTATTATGTTAAAAAAATCCACCTTCCAGTGAAAAAATCACCGGGATCCTTTATCTTCTCTGTCGATCCTGATAAACGAAACTGAGAATTTTAGGCCATGATGAATTTGTTTTTGTTTTCATCTTAATTATCAGCAGGAACAAGAAAGCGGAATCAAAAAACCCAAAAAGGAAAAAGTACAAAACTTTAACTGACCCACAGCTTGCCAGCCTCTGTAGAAGACGCGATCGAGTTCAAGGTGGAAGAAAGAGTGATCAGTATACCATGATGATGGAGGTGTAACGGCTTTCTCTATGGGAATCTTTGGATTGAAGTGGTGAGCAAGTGCGTAAGATAGAACCGAATCTGAACAGCCAAGAGAATAACAAACGAGGTTTGAAGAATGTTTGTTGGGAAAATTAAGGTTGTTTTGAGATTTTCCCTGTCGGAGATTTGGGATAAAGGGTTTGACTTGCATGATCATCGCCATTTGTGTGTCTTTCTATAAACATAAACATAAACAAACACTGCAATTTTGTTGAAATAGGCAAGTTCAAATTTTTTACTTTTTTTTTTTTGCATTTTCTTTATTTTATGATGACAAATTTTTATACTTATTGAACAATTTTTTTATAAAAATGTAGAGTAAAGTTTATAAGTTCTATGTGAATTTTATGAATTTTGTTTAGAATAATCATGATTTTTTGAAAAAAAATACATAAATAATCATGATTTCAAATAATATATCAATTAATCTAGTTACAAACAAAAAAAGTGACACATGCATTCTAATTTGATCTTAGATGTCACTCACTATTTTTAATTTCATGTAAATGGCAATAACACATGCATGTAAGTGACAAGAGCACGCGCCATCTCTTCAAACTTCTATGTTATATTTAATTATTTTATTAAATTAAATTATTAACTACAAAAATATAATAAAAAATATTAAATAAAAAATCATTCTATTAAATAGAATTACACAATAATTGAAGAGAATTTTCATGACCTACTCGATCCAAACACCTACCGATTCCACATGGTAGCTCCAACGCTTGCTTTCGAGGTCTCACAGGATTTTTCTGTGGTGCTTAGGGTCTCCTAGTATTCGCCTGAGCCTGAGGTGTTTGGTGCAAGGGTTATGAGATATTAGTTTATCTAACAAATTGTCAATCATATCTCCTTAGTAGCCAATGCTGCCATAATCGTGTTCGACACCCATGTTGTCGTAGTTGGATCGTGTTGGTTGAGTTACATACGGATGGGCTGTTTGGTTGAATTGGGACATTGAATCGTTTTAGAAACAAAACAATGATTCTTGTGGTATTTTAAAGACATGTGTGGGTGGGTGTTTTGGCGGTGTGATGTTTGGATGTTTTGGTGGTGTGATGTTTGATTGTACGTTGGTTGGGTGGTATGGTAGGATGTGATTGTATCATATGTGGCATCGGTGTTGTGATAAATATGGTTTGTTTATGGCCAGTTGATGTTGGTGCTTCCATTGACAACATGCTTCCCTAGTGAAGTCTCTCCAATCTCTATAATTCAATTGGACAACTTCTATTGTGCGTATGGTTAGAT